TCCCAACACTATCTTTCCCTATCCAAGAAGAGAGTGATATTCTCTGTGCCACCAAAGGTCATCTCATAGCAGATAAATTTTTCACATGTTGCTCCTTCATTCTGTAACTTTTACCAGGTCTGTTTCCATGTAGAATGATCTGTGGTTGGATCAGTAAGTGTGTCTAATTCAGAAGCTACTGATAATATGTCTAATTGCTCACAAATGCAAGTTTTGTACTCCAGTCTACTCTTATTATTAATAATGGGTGTATTTTTGCTTTTATTTGCTTGAAACGTTCATTATTTTTAGTAAGTTTGTAATCCAGGTCATGGCAAAAGGAGTGTTATTCATTTAGCTTCTCAAAATAACTCTGATGCATGGGCTAGGCAACTTGACAAATGAGCAAGGTGTAAAATTTTGGGCACAAGTTATGCATGGAATGATTTTGCTTTTGACAGAGCTTGAACAGATGCTTGTAAACCATGCTTTTCTAAGCATAGGCCATGCTGGCTTTTAAAAAAATATCTTAGTGACTTGCCACTTGCATTGCACAGTGCAGCTGGCTTTCCATTGTGGAGTTGGCTTTACAAATGTGTGGCATGGTCTAGGGACTTTGAATCTTTGCAATATTTTTACCATGGCAGGTTACTGCTGGTTATTGTGACACTGACTAGAGTTCTGTAATAGCTTATATAGAAAGATGTCCCAACTAATGTGCAGGGGTCTTCCGGAATCGCAACACATTTGTAGACTGCCTGTGGGTACAGGTCCCACCATTGGGCTCTTGACCTGTACCTACTTCATGTGCATGAAGAACAGAACCCATGCAAATAGTGGTGGCCTCAGAGGCATTAGTCAAAAGGATCAGCTGAGACAGCAGTTTAATTAGAGACAACATATTCTCACGAAAGAATTTTTAGGCCTCATTGGTAGAGGAATACGTGCTGTGCTTAGTCTGAAAGGAAGTGAATTATGAGTGTGTTACAGAGCACAAGGGTAGTTCTACATTGAAATTGTTAACACAGGCTTCGGGAAGAGTCTAAACCAGCTGACTAATTTTCGTAAGGATTCAAGCTGAGGATGAAAATTGCAGATCTAGAGCCAGTACCAGTGGATAAATCTGTTCTCTCACTCCTATAAACAATACCACCACCACTGGGTAACTTATAAAGAAAGGATGTTTTATTGACTCACAGATCCACGTCGCTGGGGAGGCCTCAGGAAACATATCATTCTGGCTGAAGGTGAAGCAGGCATGTCTTACATGGCAGCAGGTGAGACAGAGAATTGAAGGAAGCGTAGTGGGAAGAGCCCCTTATAAAACCATCAGATCTTGTGGGAACTCACTATTATGAGAACAGCATGGGGGAACCACTCCTTAGATCCAGTCACCTCCCCCCAGGTCCCTCCTTCCACATGTGAGAATTATAGGGAGTACGATTCAAAATGAGATTTGGGTGGGGGGACACAGCCAACCGTATCAACCTACTTTCCCATGGGGTTAAGTATCAACTAACTAATCCTCCCACTATCAACACTATCTGGTGATAAATTGATTCTGTATCTCTTAATTATTTATTAGCAGGGAAACCCTCTTGAAGAAGGGATACTTTTTATGTCTTAAAACTTTCAAAGATAAATGAGGGAGAAGCAGCCTCAGTATTTCAGAACTAACAAACGCTTTATCATAAGAAACTGTGGGGAACTCCATTTACTTGGTAGAACCCCCATTCAGCAGACATGGAGGTCAAGAGGGACTTGGATGTATCAGTCAGTGTTATAAGTTAATTTTATTGATATCATGAAAAAATCCAGAATTAATATCTTGGTGAGAACGTTTCTCAATTGAGTTAAAATTTCAATTATTAGATTTTTTAAAAAATAGCATAAACTATTTGTGTTTTGTTTATAATAAAACATAATATGTTTGCAAGGTCTCCAGCAAGAATAATATGCACGCAAGGTCTCCACCAAGATATCTAACTTGAATAATATGTCAGCAAGGTCTCCATCAAGATATTTAACTTGAATAATATGTCAGCAAGGTCTCCAGCAAGATATCTAACTACTTTCAGCACAGCACTAAGTTTCTGTTGTAGTCTTTGGCAATACAAATGATCAGATTGAAAATATTTTCGCTTTGTGAAAACTCTTTTAGAACAAACACATAATGGATTGGTCTGTTTATCCAGTTCTCAGAATAAATGCCATGGATATGATAATCTTTTCTTTAATAGTAACTGCTTGGAATTTTTTAAATAGTGAAGAACTTCAGAGACTCAGTGTTAAACAAATACAACATTTGAGACCATGAAGAAGAAAACACACCCCTTTCAATGAGAGATACTGTCTTTTCCAATGTGTTAAGAACTCTTTGAACTGAGGCCAAATGGCCAAAAAAGTTAAATGAGTGGGGACTTTAAAATCTTTTCAATTTTTACGCACAGGTACCAGAAAAAAATAATTTGGGCCTTAATTCTACTGAAGCATTATATTTAGACTTTATGTTTCAAAATAATTTAATCTCGCTATTTTAATATTGCCGTAGTCATGCTATAGTAGCAAAAAAAATGTTATTTAATTGTGGGTCATCTCCTCATTGACATTTGTGATTACAGTATAATTATGTTATCACTCAAGTTCAAAACTGATCTCCTAATAGGCTATTTGGGCAATGTTATTAAGGAAAACATGTGAGCTGGACAATCAAGCAAACATTAAATTTCAGCTGTAGAGTTGTTTTAACCAATATGCTTTTCTGACCCATTTTAGAGTCTGTAGGGATTGGGGAAGGTCAGCTTGGATCACTGATACTTCTAAAGGGTATTCATTCCAAAAAGCAGTGCTCGCATTGGATGTGGGGCCATGTCTGGGAATGGGAAGAACTGGCTTGTTAAACTTGTGTTCTTCTCCCCCAGGCAAGAAAAGCACAGTGCTAAAAGAACACAATGTGGAGGGAGGATGGCGGGAAATACTTCTCCTTTCTTGTGGATTGAGATCAGTCAGTGAAACACTCCGCTTCTCTCTGTCTCATTACTCATTACAGCATGGAAAAGTTACTGACTAATCTTAGAGTCAATTGGGAAGTGATAAACTACGTTCTTGACACAATTTACTTTTCTTTTGAGAGAGTCTAAAGCCTTTGTTGCTTTTTGTCATATAATGCAGTTTACTTTTCCTGGGAGCAAAGGCTTGGAGAGGGATAGCAATCGCTGCAGATGGAAGAGTAAGGCTTTCTAATTTAAAGGCAGGAGCCAATAGCAGAAGGTATATCTGCGTGAGAAATGCCCTATATCCTCCAAACTCTGCTTTCTCATTAATAAAGGTGATTTCTTGCTTCCATCTAATGATAAACTAGTTTATTTTTGAGAACTGTTTCCTCTACACCGTCAAACACACGGGTTTGGGAAAATTTCAGGATCTTGTGCAGAAGGAAAAGGGCCTAAAATGAGTCAAATCTTGTTATCTGGGAGGGATGTACCCACCTATAGGACAGGAAGGAGAGGGAATACAGGGCGGCCCGGATTACGTGAGGTGTGATAATTCAGGACGCTTTTTCCATCTTGAAATAACTCTGAGTCAGCATCAATTGTCCTTGTGTGCCAAGCTCAAATGAGGCGATGCTGGAAATGGGGCTGACTTGTTCCATTTTTGTGTATGTATGTGTGTGTGACATCACCCCAGGCTGATGTTTAGTTAGAAATGAATCCTGAATTCATTAATGTTTTTTATTCTTGCATGTATTTCCCTATGGATCATGGGGACTGGAGAAGTTAAAGCCAGTCCCCATGAGGTAGTTAATGGTAAAATAGCCTGGGACTATACAATTTTGTGAATCATGCCCAGTCAAAACACTAAAAGTGTATCAGCCACCCTTATCAATCAAGGCCATTTTGGCCCAATTTTAAACTTACTCAGAGCAGTAAGATACTCTGTCTACCTTTTAACCTGTTGAACTTCAGTTGATTGAGGTCCCCCATTCTGGTCTGACCAATACAAAGAAAAGCAGCAGGATTGCCTCTTTCATTGCAAACATACTTCTCGTAATCAAGCGTCCCACTGATACCTTTTTGTGTCTCACAGTACTGATGTGTTGTCCATGTGAACCAGAAGGAGCACTGAGTTTGCAGCCTCCTGGAGTCTAGTTTGAACTGTGATACATGCTGCAGTGTCTTTACATCAATTTCGTGGCATTTTTAAGCCTCAGGACTTCGTTTTGTAAAATGAAACACAACTGTAGCTTTATTTTTGTGATTACAAACAGTAAGACTACAACTCTGAAGCCACCCTACCAGTGCTCAAGTCCCAGTTCCTCCTCTTACTAACTGAAGACCTCAGCCAACTTAAATAACTACTCTATGTCTGAATCCCCTCATCAATTAAATGGATACATCAAGTATATTCCTATACCATAATGTTGTTCTAATAATAGGTGAGTGAATAAAGTTTAAGTTATTAGAGTAGTGCCTGACATGTAATTAGTGAAATACAAGTGTTCTTATTAGTTACCTCACATCTTTTGTTTGGCACTGTCGAGTCTGCATTAATGAATTAATCTGTTTCTCAGTGTTGACTGTGAGTGTGCTATAGGGCAGGGGTCTCCAATCCCCTGGTCCACAGATTGGTACCTATGCATGGCCTTTTAGGAACCAGGCCACAGAGCAGGAAGTGAGTGGCGGGTGAGCCAGTGAAGTTTCATCTGTATTTCTGGTTGTTCCCTCTCACTCCCATTATCACCCGAGCTCTACCTTCTGTTAGATCAGCCAGCCGTGACACTAGATTCTCATAGGAGTATGAATCCTATTGTAGACTGTGCATGCGAGGGATCTAGGTTGCACGCTCCTCGTGAGAATCTAATGCCTGATGATCTGTCACTGCTTCTCATCAGCCCCAGAGGGAATCATTGCAGGGAAACAAGCTCAGGGCTTCCAGTGATTCTGCATTATGGTGAGTTGTATACTTATTTCATTATGTATTATAATGTAGTAATAATAGAAATAAGTGCACCATAAATGTAATATGCTTAAATTATCCCAAAAACAGTCCCCCCATCTCAGTCCAAAAAAAAAAATAGTCTCCCATGTAACAGTTCCTAGTACCAAAAAGGTTGGGAACTGCTGCCTTAGGGAACACAATATTTGCTAAACATCATGAGGTCAAGCCCATGTCTAGTCCATTGTTTTATTTCTAGTATTTATCCATGCTATTTACATAAATATATATATATTGAGTTAGTGAATTAATCCATGCCACACTAAAATTTACCCTTGATCTCTACCTTTGTCACGTTGTCAGAGACATTTATGTTTTTGAATGTTATTTTCTGGGCATTGCTCTCCTACCTCTTTCCCAAGATAACTCTGACCTGATCTTCAAGGTCTAGTTTAAATGTCATCTGTTTAATTAAGATGCTTTATCTGGAAAGGGCCTCATTATTCCAAAGTGAGTAAGAAATGAGGAGCCAAACTGTAGCAATGCTTTTCAAAATTTTGCTTAAGTAGAGCCTTGCAACACAGAACAGTAGCAACAGAAAAATATTGGGTTTGTGTTCATCCTAAGGAAAGTTTGGGGGGCTTTAGCCTTGCCCCACAAATCCCCTTTTGTCCACGCAGAATGTTTTGGTTTCGGTGCACTTATTCTTTGATAGGAAAACCTAACAGTTTCCTATTGCAAGTAGAGATCATAAAAATATGTTAGAATATTTTGCTAAGTTTCAAGTTTGTTCTATAATTCACATTCTGAGTTACGATGATGTATTTCATATGCACATAGAGCCACATGACAAGTTCTCCAAATCCTTGTCCAAACCGAATGCTTATTCATTGCTCCTTCTATAAAAAAAATTCTAGAAACACCATTGCTTGAAGATTAAAAAAAAAAAAGTTAACTCAGGAGAACTGGTACTATGTTTATATATGCATTAAAATAATAAAATGTATGTTGCTTTCACATTACTCCTTTGACTTTTGTCAGAAAAGCATTAAAACCTGATTTTATAAAAAAGTAAAATTGGAGGCACAGAGGTTGCAAGAATTAAAAATAAAATAAAATAGAACTCTAGGGATTATTTCATTAATCAGGACTTCCATTGCCTCTTCGGCTTTCTCTGTTGTGCAGGGGAGAGCCTCAACCCAGTTTGTGTAAGTATCTACGCATTCTAGCAGATATTGATATCCCCGATACTTACACATATGAGAAAAGTCCATTTTCCAGTCCTCCTCTGGGTAAGGACAGGCTTGCTTTTCCCCAGGAGGAGCTTTGCAATGTGCCAAAGGATTGTTTTTCTGGCATGCTTCACATCCTTTGACTATTTGTTGGACAGTCTCGAAGAGATCTTTGTCTGTAAATACAGATTTGACCATCCGATATCTATGCTCTATACCCATATGGAAGGTTTGATGCAGAGTTTTAAGTACTTTCCCCCAGCTGGAAACCCCAGTGCAGCAGGTAGGAGTACTTTTCCTTCCTCAGTTGCTAGCCATCCTGAAGGAAGAAGATTATGTCCCTGGGAGATTTCCCACTCTACCTGTTCTGATGAGTATTGAGGTCTAGTTCCCTGGAGTGGGTTTTCCCATATTAAAGGTTCTTCTATAAATTCTTGTCTAGCTGTCCTTTCTGCCTCTAGGTCAGCTTGGTGATTGCCCTCTGCTACCTTCTTATCTCCTTTCTGGTGACCCCAACAGTATAAGACTGCTGCTACCTCTTTCGGTTCTTGGACTGCTTGTAATAAGTCTAAAATTTCCGTATGATATTTAATGGGAGTTCCTGCTGAGGTCAGGAACCCTCTTTCCTTCCATATGGCAGCATGGGCATGCAGAACCAGGTCAGCATATTTGGAATCTGTGTGTACGTTTACTCTCTTTCCTTTTCCTAACTTTAGAGTTTGGATGAGGGCTATCAGTTTTGCCAGCTGGGCACTGGTACCAAGAGGAAGGGAATTGCTTTCAAGCGCTGTTGGATCACTGACTACTGCATATCCTGCTTTTCAGACTCCATTTTCCATAAAGGAACTTCCGTCAGTTTGTAGGTTAAGGTCAGGATTGGCTAGAGGAGAATCAAAGTGATCCTTTCGAGCCACATAGTTCTGAGCCATAATCTACGGACAGTCATGCTCTGTGCCTGCTCCCTCCTCAGGGTGAAAAGAAGCTGGGTTGAGGGCTGCACATGTGTGCAGCTGAAGTACAGCTCCTTCGAACACTAAGACCTGATATTTGAGTAGGCGATATCAGACAGCCATAAGCCTCCTTTAGAGGCCGGAATTGCAGCTACATCATGTGAAGTTGATACAGTTAGATCTTTTCCTTGCACTATTTTAACTGCCTCTAAGACCAATACCGCCACTGCAGCTATGACTCAGAAGCAGTGTGGCCAGCCTTTTGCTAGTGCATCTATTTCCTTACTTAGTTATGCCACTGGTTGTGGCATAGTCCTCTGAGTCTGGGTGAAAACCCCCAGTGCCACTCCTGACTTTTCTGTTGCCTATACGGAGAAGTCATTCCCTGTAGGAAGGCTTAGAGCTGGAGCCTGCCGTAGTGACTGTTTCAGGATGTGAAAGACTGCCTCAGGTATAGGGTCCCAGAGTACTAAACAGGTGTGAGCTTTTTGGGTTTCCTTAATTAGAGTGTACAGAGCTTTTGCTATTTCACTGTATTTGGGTCCCCTTCCACAATCTCATGGAAGCTCTTCTCTCTTATCTTTTTCTCTCTCCTTTTTCTCTTTCTGTGCTTTAATAAATCACTTCCTACAATACTCTTTGGGGTCCGATATTCAGTTTTGAGCACACCATGCCCGGCCTGGTCCCCTCTCCCATTCCTGGGTGAGTAAGAGACCAAGAGCCTGGAATAACATCGTCTTGGGGGAGCTAAGTCTCCCCTGCACTCTGGAATCTAATCACAGAACAAGTTACATGCAGGGCAAAAACTTGAAACCTCCTCTAATTATTACAAACTTGGTCTTTTATTCATGGTATCTTAATGCTAATGGAAAGTAATCTGTATATTTTAATTCCATGGTCAAGATAATTTGGATGAAAGTGTTACAAGTCCTCATTATTAATAACCACTCATGAATATTATGACAAGATTTAGTTTTTTGCCCTGTAGTTATAGCTGAGCTTCTACATTCAAGCTGGCCTTTAATTTCTTAAACCCCATTTTGACTATGGAGAAAAATATCAGAAAAAAATACAGCCTTAAGGGAAAAAAGTATGATAATTATAGTATTAACTCACAAGAAAGCTTCGTGCTATTAATCTGGAATCTAGGCCTTTAGCCCACATATCCTTAACATAAATACCCTTTTTATACAGATGAAAAGTGCAAAAGACTGGAATTTGAGAAAGCCAATTATGCCTAAGCATTCCCCAAAAGGGAGAAAAGCCAGTGATTTATGGCAGCTGGAAACGTCTATGAGTCTGAAAGTGAAACTTCTTTCACTGTTTAAGTTCCAGAACAGGAGTCCCCAACCTGTTTAGCACCAGGGACCGGTTTCTTGGAAGACAATTTTTCCACAGACTTGTGGGTGCAGAGGAACAGTTTTGGGATTAATCTGTTCCACCTCAGATCATCTGGCATTAGATTCTCATAAGGAGTGTGCCACCTACATCCCTCACATGCACCGTACACAGTGGGGTTCACACTCCTATGAGAATCTAGCACCCTGCCACCACTGATGTGATGGGAGGTGGCGCTCCCTGGGTGGTAATGCTCTCCTGCCTGCCACTTACCTCCTGTTGTGCAGCCCAGTGCCTAACAGACCATAGACCCATAGCAGTCCATGGCTTGGGTTTTAAGGATCCCTGATATAGAAGGTATCAGGATGATAATATCCCTTCAAATTCATTCATATACTGAAAACATATAATATGGCAGCTACTGTTTCAAATACATAGCGTAGGATCCCCCACATCCATGTCTTTTCTGTATGATCCTAAACTCACTGAACAGACTTTTTGGCAGAGGGATGGAGGCCTGATCATCTGACTCCAAGAGCTTCCCAGGGATTTTCAAAGTCCATCCAAGGACAGAGAGTCAAGTCCAACAGTGGCAGCTAAACAGCATGTGACTCGAGGAATGGCAGCCATTGCAGATCCCAGAATTTCTGGAAAGGGAGAGCATAAAATGGACATGCAAAGTCAGCAAACATAAGAGATATGAAGACGGCTCTTTTGGTAGTTCCAAAAGCACTGGCATCCTTCCAATATTTTTTTCTTTTTAAATAAAATATTTCAATTTGTGTTTATGCCTCTTTAAATCAAAACATGTCTTGTTTATGCAAGAGTCTAGTAATAGGGAAGAAAAAGCACTGTATCTTGTAGTAAGTGCAATAACAGAGAAAAATCTAGGGTGCTGTGGGAGTTTAGAAAATAATTCTCTACAGCAGCACTGGGGAAAACAATATTTTCTAAGGAGGTGTGCTAAATTATTATTTTTTGCTTTGTTTTGCTTCTAGGTGTATTTATTCGTTTTAACTTTTCTTGTAGAGAAAATCTGGAGTTGTGCTTGGGAAAGGATGCAAGATAGGCATACTATAGGCTTTAGGAAGAAGTGGAAATTACCAAGATAAGCCAATGATAAGAAAATATAAAACACAAGACAATTCATAGAGATTGACAATGGTTAAAGCAGAGACTCATGTTGAGGAGTAAGAGAAAATAAGCCTTTAAGACACTGAATTCAATTTCTTAGTTGTAAGCAATGTAGCAAAGTATATATTAGATCAAGGAAAATGTCTCACTTCTGTAAAATATTGGGGAATAAGTCTGTATGAAGTATGGCTGATACAGCTGGTTTCCTGCCAATTCTTGGATGGGTCATCCTAGTCCGGACTATCATGAAAAATTATTCACACAGCTTAAGTGAATGATTTCAGGATTTACACATCTCAATTCAGAAATCCAAGCTCTTCCCATGACTGTTCTAATGGCAGTTCTAAAAGCCTCTTGCATTGGAGGCCAGGAAAATGTGAAGCAATGCAGACTTGGGCCACATACTCTATCAAATGGAGAATATCAGCCTATATTAGGCAAACAAGAGCCTAGCACAGAAGAAAAGGTGAGCTACAAGAAGACAGTGCCACGTTGTTTTCACTGGAATCTATGTACCCATCTATGCCTGAGGTAAGATCCACCTTACCCTTCTAATATACCATACTTTGGTATTATGGGACTTCTGTTACTTGCAACGTAAAATATATCGATTACACTCTGAAGCTGAAAAGGGTCACAGTGCGCTTCTCCTAATGGATAAATGCATATTTGCTTTGCAATTCACATTACAAGAATCATTTAGGAGCTAGGAGACAACACAGATAGCATGTGGACCAGTTTACATTGTTTCACAGATGAGAAAATTGAGAAACAAAGCAGACAGGTAGCTTTCTCCATACAAGTTAAATTGGTAGCGGAGGCGTCACTTCATTTGCAATTGGTAGATATTCCCTTTTGCAACTGTCTACATGTGTCATTAACTGCATGATTGCATGTGTACATACATATGCACACAAACAAGCACATATGAAAGGCAAAGTCGTGTACTGTATATGTTTGTTATATAGTATATTCTAGCTCAGGGCAGATCCAAATGTATTCCTGATATCATTTTATCTACTGCTCTTTTCAATAATTTAAATGTTGTTATTTCTTTGTTTCTTTAGGTATGTTTCCATTTTAGTTTCGGGATGACTCACCAAGGTCTCCGTGATTGCTTAAGCTCGTTACTCAGGATGCCATCACTGCTGGCTAGAATATTTCTTTGGTAAGTGTTGTTACCATGTTCACCAACTTTATATAGCATGCTTGGTTCGGATGTGGAAGCAGTGTATTTTCCCCCTCATTTAAGAGGCTTATGACTGGGGAGGCTGACAAGAATTTAACATGCGTAAGCTTCTAGCAGTGAGAACCAAACTCCTTAATACTCAGCAGTTAGCACCCAAGATATCAGCACTTGACGATGGAATCGAACTGTCCTTTGACAAGCATTTATGACGACAACTTAATTGTTCTTTCTCCCAAAAATACCGAAGAGAAAACCACCCTGTCCTAGCTGCACAAGGAAGGAAAAAATAATATAAAAATCTTATTAGGTTTCATCCCCCTGTTAGAAAACATTTTTAAAAATTAAAAAAAAAGTAAAAATGAAGCTCAAGTAAAATTTAAAACACTCTAAATCCAATTGAAAAAACCCATTTGTAATGGTTGTATTTTTCGAAAGCTATAGATGCTCGACCATATAATAGGGGAAAGGACAGTAATTTTAGAATGAAATTGCTGTCCTAGAATAAAAAGCAATGATAAATTCTGGTTTTATGATGTGTTTACAATTTATCAACATAATTTTCTCAGCATCAGTCGCACCTCGTATGTCTTAGATTAGGATTCAAAATTTGAGGCATAAGTTTAGGGCAATTATATCGTAAAAATATACAATATCAGAGAAACATATGTATTTAAAAGGAAGAGAGGTAAGGAAAGGGGATGTTACCAAGTTGGTCAGTATTTGGTGTCAAGCTCAATGTATAGCTCAAAAGCATTCTCAGGCTCTCCCAGATGCCCTGACAACCTCTTAGAATTGATTTGAAGGACGGTTTAGGCATCATCTAGTATAGTGTTTCTCCAAAATCCATGTCTAATGTGTATTACTGCCGGGCAGCCACAGATCCAATTCAAGAATTTCATCTTATACGTGAAGAAACAAAAATATGGCAAAATAAATTGCTCAAGGTCACATAAAGTTTTTTGTCAGAACTGATTCTACATCAGGTGACTCTCCATTCTAAAGCCATTTTTTTTATTTTTATTTTTGTCTAAAGCAACATCTTCCCAAGTAATCCCTCTCTGTTCTTGGACTCCACACAACCTTCTAGAGAGTAAGAATGGCCCTTCTCTTATAATTATAGTCACTAGAGGACCCAGTCTAGTGCCAATCATAGAGTAGAACATAAAGTGACTGTTATAGGAATGCTTCCCTAAAAAAACAATATGTTTAAGGCCCTTGGTACTTCAAAATACGCCTTTAATTGAAAGTAGGGTCATCGAAGATGCAATTAGGAGGTTAAAAAGAGGCCATCTAGAGTGCAATGGGACCCTAATGTAATATGACTGGTATCCTCATGTAAAAGGGAAATGTGGACACAGAGAACACTATATGAAGATAAAGGCAGAAATAAGCATGACGCTTCTGCATAACAAGGGATACCTGAGATGGTTAGCTGATTACCAAAAGCTATGTGACGGCCACAGAATGGAATGTTATTCTGCCATATAAAAGCAGAACGTTATAGAATATGTGACAACATGGAGAAAACTTGAGGGAATCAAGCTAACTGGAATCTTATAGTCACAGAATGATAAGTGCTGTGTGATCTCACTTACATGTGGAATATAACAAAACCACATTAATACAGCCAGATAGTAGAACGGTGGTTACCAGGCACGAATAGGGAGCTGGGGAAATGAGTTGTAGGTCTGAAAATACATACTTGTACTTATGTAGGGTGAATAAGTCTAGAGGCCTGATGAATAGCAGGAGAATTATAGTTAATAATATTGGTTTTCATATTAGAAATTTGCTAAGAGTAGATTTCAGACACTCACACCACATATACACACAGAAACAGTAACCATGGGAACAGATGGATATGTTAGTACAATCCATTGTGGCAATGATTTCACTATGTATATGTATGTTAAAACATTACATCATACACCTTAAGCATATACAGTAGCAGAACACACATAAGAAAAATAAGCATAGGTGTATCTGTCTGTATACTTTATATACAAAAAAGCCATTGGGCATAAAACCACATAGAAATTATGTGAACAAGAGCACAACACACATAGATTTGTTGACTAGAGTTTTCTCATCTCTAAATCTATATAATGAAATTTTACTTTCAAATTTGTTTTAATGGTTAAAGAAATGTACACATGGAGCATGCTTGGCAGGAGGAGAGTTAGCAGAAATTATCAGCCTCTCCAATTCTGTCAGTTTTGGAATGGAAAGGTGATTCTGATCTTATTTATGTGAATCTTGAAGCATCAAAATAATTCATATTCCTTTTTTTAGTTAGTTACTCCCAATTTGATAAAATGAGTTCATACCATTTTGGGGAATGAACTTACAGTCTTGCCAATAGAGTGTCCAAGAAGAATCGCCCCCTAGCGGACATTTTATACCCACTCGGAGGATACTTGTGAGATCTTGTCTGTCTCTCATTTTTTTCTCTGACACACCTTACAAGTTAAAAAAAATAAAAAGTATTTTCAGAGCAGTCACTAATACATTGATTTAATTCTTGAAATTTAATTCTTGAAATTTACTATCTTCGGATAGATCAGATAGTGTTTTGATGAAGTTATCTAAAACAAATACTGGTGAAATACAGACTAGACACCACATACATCTGGATTTTACTCTGATTTCTTTTTTTTTTTTCAGGGACAAGGGCCTGCTATGTATCTATTTCCATGTCAAGAAAGCCATGACAGCTTTGGTGACCAAGAATGTGGGATCTTTTGAGGAACCTTAATTTCAGCAGAGGGCTGGAAACAGGGTAAGGAACTACAATTGGCATTGCAATTCATTGATAATAAAGAGAAATTAAAGGGACTTCAAACTCATTTGAATAACTTTAGTGTCTTTGTGTCCTAGAGTATTCTGAAAATACTTTCTTTTTTAAAAAATTTCTTTTTTTTTTTTAAAGAAAAAAAGAGAAAGATAAAGGGGGAGAGAGTACAGAAATCTTGCTCTATTGCTCAGGCTGGAATGCAGTCTAAAAATAGGTATTAAAAACCTCTTTTATGCCGATAATTGTACTTATCAGTGGAGACAGGAAGAAATAAGGGAAGAAAATAACAAACAGCCAACTAATATTTCATTTAAGTCTGTGAAATGCTATGCAAATGCTGAAGAATGATTTACTTCCAATTATGCGGTCACTTTCAAAAATCTAATTTCTTTACATTCTTTTTTTTCCACCTGAAACATGAGAGTTTAAAATATCTGACATCAAGTAATCCAGCTGGAGAAATAGCAACTTTGTATCTAATCCTATTACACTTGATTGCAAAGAGAAATCAAGAAGTCCCTTCTGTAATATTTACCTAAGTATATCATACACATGTAGTTTGAATAAGTAGAATAAATGTTGGTTATGTTAAACAGCCTAATTCAAAAATCCTGATTTGAAATCAAGACTCCTTTTGTATATAATGTCGTGTTTTATATTTCAGGGGAAGAAGAGTAAAAAATTAGGAATCAAATTTTACCCTGGGAAGTCCCTGATATAATTCCAGTTTTCCCACTCCTGAAGATTAATCTTGAAAGACTTAAGGGAAAAAAAAAATGTGTAAAGATGGCTTTAAAAAGTGAAAAGAGAGAAAAATATAAATGCAGTAAAATGAGAATTTAGCTACATGGACTGAGCTACAATTTGTCATTCAGAGTGCAAAAGAGATATTTGTGAGTTTAGAATATGTTCCATATTTATAATTTTTATATATTTGTGTTCTCATTTTTGTTATTTCCATTTCAACTTGCTTTTATCTTATGTTATATATAGTATCTATGTATAATTTATAAAAATGAAAAAATACATAATAAAATATTTTGGAATGCATGCTATAAATCTGATAGCTGAGCATGATCAATGAATCTTTGAAGCCCAGAAATAAATTTATGCATTATACATACAGTCGATTGATCACCAAGAAGGATGCCAAAATCACGCAATAGGGAAAGTAAAATCTTTTCAATAAATTGTTTTGGAAAAGCTGGGTACTCACATGCAAGAGAATGAATTTGGACCCTTCACATACACTATACATAAAAATCTACTTAAAATGGATAAAAGACAGACATAAGACCTGAACTATAAAACTATTAGGAAAAAACACGGGGACAAACTATATGGCATTGGTCTGGGCAATGCTTTTTTTGGAATTGACCCCCAAAGCTCAGCCAACATAAAACAAAAATAGACAAATGGAAATTCATCAAACTAAAAAGCTTCTGCACAGCAAAGTAAACAAGTAATAGATTGAAGAAGCGATCTACAGAATGGAAAAACAGTGTTTGCAAGCCATACATCTGATAAGGCATTAGTATTCAAAATATATTAGAAGCTCAAACAGCTCAATAGCAAGAAAACAACCTGATTAAAAAAACTGGAAAGAGGATCCGAATAGATACTTCTCCAAAGAAGACATAAAAATGGCAAACAGTGATGTAGAAAAATTCTGAACCTCAAAAAAGAAGTCAAAAAATGGCAAACAATTATGTAAAAAAAATTGCCAATGTCACGAATTAGGCAAATTCAAAGTAAAAGTACAATGAGACATTACCTCACACCTGTCAGGATGGCTACTAAATATGTAAAAAGAAAAGGTTTTGGTGAAGATGTGAAAATAATGTAAAGACTTGACTACTATTGGTGAGAATGTTGACTGGTAGAGCCACTTTGGAAAACAGTATAAAGGTTTCTCCAAATATTAAAAATAAAACTACCATATGGTCCAGCAATTCCTTTTCTGTGTCTGTGTGTATATGTACATACATATACACACACTCAATAAATGATTGAAATAAGAATCTCAAAGAGCTATTAGAATGCCCATGTTTATTGCAGTACTAGTCACAGTAGTCAAGATATAGAAACAACCCAGATGTGATGAATAGGTAAAGAAAATGTGATATAGACACGTGCTGGAACATTACTCAGGCTTTAAAAAGAAATAAATTATACATTTGTTACAGTATGGATGGATCTGGAGGACACTATTCTAAATGAAGTAGCCAGTCTCAGAAAGGCAAATACTGTATGATTCCACTTACGTGAGGTGTCTACAATAGTCAAACTCAGAGAATTAAACAGAGTGGTGATTGCCAGAGTCTGGGTTAGGGGAAGGATAAGTTGTTATTCAAAGGTATACAACTTTGGTTATGCAAAATAAATAGGTTGTAAATATTTCAGCACAACACAGTGCCTGGAGTTGACAGTGGCATATTTCATACTCAAAAATTTGTTCAGAGAGTAGATCACATGTTAAGAATTCTTACCACACACTCACAAGACTAAGATTTTTATCTGAATATTTTATGATTTCAGCTTATATTTTACTTGATCATCTGCAACTCCGAATTTATCTAACAGAATCTTAATTCTAATTCAACATTCTGTAGTGTAACAATAACAAGACTGTGGCTTAGAGTTAATAAAACCGTAAAATTGAGTATGGTTAAAGGTATCCTTTATACTTAAATGATCATTGTAATGTGAGCCCAAGTAGGCAGATTTAACAGGGCTTCTTTGATTGGCAACAGCAATTTAGTCCTGCTCCCTGCCTCTCTCTTTCCCCTTCAGAGTGAGATGGTTTTTAGCTGCATTGTTGGTATACGTGCAGCACACTGGTTAAATTTTAGGGAAAAGTGTCCCTTCCCAGAAGAGAGAGCGCAATTTGGCCCCCATATGGTATATCATCCATTATATATATATATACACACACACACACACATACACACACACACATATGCACACACATATATGTATACATATATATATACATATATATGTATATAACATATATTTCTTGCTTAGACACATCTTATCAGACAACATCAAATAATCATGAGACTTTGATAAAAAAATAACATTTTGATCTTTAAAAGATGTATAGGAAATGTGAAGGAAAGGGAGAAGAAATAAACAATAGTATTCAATGAGGTTTAATTATACATTTGTCCTTAACATTTTCTTCGGGGTATGTTTACAATTTGCAATTTCATGTTTCCTGGATATAAATACATGCGGCATGTGTGTCTTCCAAATGAAAAGCAGTAGATGGTTAATCATCTGGTGAAGAAATTTTAGAATATTACACCCACATTGAATATCAGGACAAAGCTTCTCTGAGTAAGAAACAGAGAAGTGATTGCTGTTTTTTCATTTGTTTCTTTTCTCTCACACTAGAAGACACGAGATACTTGGAGATGAAGTATCATTGCGATTGTCTCTGAAAGCTAAATACATATCCAAAAATATTGATTGTAAAAAGCGCTGGGGTGGCCAATGTCCCAATAACTTGATTAGTCTGGAAATGCAAGCTAATGCTTATGAGCACTGTAAAATTAAATTCTAAATAGATGTACTGTTACTCTTAGGATAATAGCACTACCAGTTTCCCTATGTGTACTTTTGTGGTGAGAAAATAAGATTTTCTTTCAAGAAAAAAAAGAATATTGGAGACTCTTAGGTTAAATTAGACACTGCTGTAGAAAAATAGGTGTTAAATTTATTGATTCTTATTTCATGACCGAAACGATGTCAAGGTACTACCTTAAGGACCCCATCCTTGCTGTTCCAACTGTCTGGAATGTTCTCATTCCCAAATACATCTAGCTCCTTTTGACTCTCCAAGTCTCTTCAAGTGTTACCTTTCTCACAAGCATTCCCTGTACACTTCTCCTAAATATACTGCCTCTTAGCCCAGTACTGCATGTGTTCTACTACTCTATGTTTTATTTATCACTACCTACCAACCTATTATCTATCCTGCTTGTTTACTATGCTCACAATGGGCTGTGTACTGTCTGCCTCTTCCACAAGGAAGAAAGCTCATGAAATAGGGACATTTGGGGCCAGGTGCCATGGTTCACACCTGTAATCTCAGCACTTTTGGAGGCTAAGGTGGACAGATAATGAGGTCAACAGATCGAGATCATACTGGTCACCATGGTGAAACCCCATCTCTACGAAAAAGAAAAAAAAATTAGCTGTGGTGGTGCACGCCTATAGTCTCAGCTACTTGGGAGTCTGGGGCAGTAGAATTGCTTGAACCTGGGCGGTGGAGGTTGCATTGAGCTGAAATCATGCCACTCCAGCCTAGTACCTAAGCAAGGCTCCCTCTGGAAAAAAAAAAAAAGGACATTTGTTTATTGTGTTCACTGTTACATCTCCACTTTTTAGACTAAGGCCTGGCATATAATTAGGACTTAATAAATATTTTTTGAAAGGTACATATGATTTTATTTACTTCTCACAACCAAGAAAAGTAGATGTTATCTGTGCCCTTAGCTAAATAAATGGAATTCCCAAAGATAGCAAATAACTTGCTTGAAAGCTCAGAGCAAGGAATAGTTTTTCTCTGAGACAAGAAATATGAAAAAGGAGAGCGAGGAAGCTGGATGATACAGCTAAGGTGGGGTAGGAAGGGAGGTCAGATTTGCCATGTGGTTA